CTTTTCCCAGCTTCTGCCTTAAAGTATCATAACTATTGCTGTACAAGGGAGGGTCTTGTCTTCTAAGTAGGTATCCTTGTGGTCCAATCTGCCAACAGCACCTGCACCCATGCCCTGGGATGATCCAAGAGGAAAGGCTGACGGGCTGCTGCAGGGGCTACAACCAGGGACTTCCTCAGTACTGAGAGTTGGCCTTTGCAGTTTTGATGAGATGCCATCAAGGACTTTTTCAACTCAAATATCCTTCATTATTCAAGACAGCAGTAAGAAACTTTGAGCTAGCTCTAGCTGCTTACTTGATCTGATTTCATCGTGACGTGACCTGCATCTCAGCCACCTGTGTCCTTAGCATCTAGCATGATGCCTGGAATATAGTGCTGCTTCAAGTTTTGTTTGACAAACAACCCTCTGAGTCCATTAGAAATGAGTGCTTTGACTCCTCGTTCTTAAATTTATTTTGAATAAATATTAATATGCAATTCAATTTACACCACACTTCACAAATACCATTAATATTTATCCTTTATTGAAAAGATTCCAAAAAAAAAAACCAAAACATAAAACACCCTCTGGCAAGTCCTCACCAGCTGGAAGTCCAAACACCTAAGCCTGAAACTTAAGGCCTTCTGTGACCTGGCCCAGATCACCACTGTAGACATATATTTCACCATATGTTCCCCCTTGGGAAGGAGAAAGGAGGAATATAAGCTAGTTACTGCACCAGGATTTGTGTTAAAACATGCAGGTTCAAGTCTGAACTCCATACTAAGTAACAGTGAAACTGGACAAATCACTGAACTTTGTTTTCTCACTGTAGGAGAGGAATAACAGCTGTCCTGCTCATGGCAGAGTCAAACAAGATAGCTGATGGTAGGGATTAAACAAGATGGTGTGCTAGTGTATTTTGTGAACAATAAAGCACTGTACAAATATAAGGAGTCAATGTATTATGTGTTCCTGCCTCTGCCCTTTGCTTGTTACATTTCTCCACGCTGAAGACCTTATGTCTTCTTTCTCACCATTCACTCATTTACTCACTCATACGTTAATTAATCCAACAAGGCCTATTTATTGTGTGCTGGCACTAGGGATACAGAGGTGAGGAAAATCCAACCTATTCTCAGCCCTCATAGAACAAGGTCTTGTTCTATCCCTGATTCTCTATTTCCTGCCATAGAGCCTGACATGTCACCATTATTACTCCAAAGTGTTGAATAAGTGAATCACAACCTGGCATATGCCTTCCTAGGCCCACTACAAGGCAGGGTATCTCTGATATGCTGGGAGTACATTTGCGATGGACACAATGAGAAAAGTTTTCCTTTGGTTATCACAGTAGTAATGGTGACTTCCTGGGAAGGAAAATAATAATTAATTGGGTATTGACTTTCTCCCAGACATTTTATTAAGTGCTATGTATGCACGTCTCATTTTGCAGATAAGGACATTGAGGCTCAGAGAGGTTAAGTGACTTGCCTAAGGTCATTCATTAAGTCAGAGGCAGAGCCAGGATTTAGAATCCAGGGAGTCACACTCTGGAGCCTACACTCTTAACCACTATATTCTACTGCCTCCAGTAACAACCATGAAGGGATAATGGAGATATCTACACTAGGAGCAAATTTCAGAATCTGTAGAGCTTTATGGACATGATCCTCAGTCACCCTCTGGGCCCTGCTGTACCCCACTACCTTCATATGGTGCTCCTGTAGAATGGGTGGGTAGGAAGAGCCAGTGGAGCTAGATGGGAGAGTCCTGCTATTCTAGTGTGAGGAGGAGCTCAGAAAGCTGGGAATGAAAAAAGAATTTTAGGGAACTAGATACTAATTATAGAAAATGTAACAACTATCTAAAAGGATACAGGATTATATATTTCTGCATAACTCCCTAAGGTAGAACTTGGCCAACTTTCTACCAGTTACAGCTGTCTGAAAATGGAAAGCTCTCTTTTATAGGGGAGTGTGATGGAACAAATATGAGAACTCTTAGAACCCCAAGAAAATATCTGTATACCCAATTTAGGAAACTCTACATAGTTTTGCTTTGGGGAATCATGCAATATCAATGTGACTATAAACCCAAATGTAAACTTAAACACCAAAATCAAATGTGGCAATATTTAGTTATCAAGTGGTCATTTTAAGAAGGTGATCAGATACACATATGCAATATCTTTTTAAAAACATACAATTTCAATCTTACTATCGAAGAATCATGGATCCTGCAAAATCTAAGCGAAGATTCTAACTTGAAAAATCCTCAGAGGGAGTAAGTGCCTCTCAGGTCCCTTCTAACTCTGAAATTCTCAGAGGTGCTGGATTCCAGAACTTTGGACTTGCACTTGCATTCTGAGCTTGGTCATGACAGCCACATTACTTGCCTACCTCCCAGAAAGGCTTTCCACTGAACAAAAACTGCTCAGTGGCCGGGCGCGGTAGCTTGCACCTGTAATCTTTTTTTTTTTTTGAGACAGAGTCTCACTGTGTTGCCCGGGCTAGAGTGCCGTGGCGTCATCCTAGCTCACAGCAACCTCAAACTCCTGGGCTCAAGCGATCCTTCTGCCTCAGCCTCCCGAGTAGCTGGGACTACAGGCATGCGTCACCATGCCCGGCCAATTTTTTCTATATATTTTTTAGGTGTTCAATTAATTTCTTTCTAATTTTAGTAGAGACGGGGGTCTCGCTCTTGCTCAGGCTGGTTTCGAACTCGTGAGCTCAAACATTCCACCCGCCTTGGCCTCCCAGAGAGCTAGGATTACAGGCGTGAGCCACCGCCCCCGGCCTGCACCTGTAATCTTAGCACTATGGAAGGCCGAGGTGGGAGGATCGCTTGAGCTCAGGGGTTGGAGACCAGCCTGAGCAAGAGCAAGGCCCTGTCTCTATGAAAAATATAAAAATTAGCTGGGCATTGTGGCACGTGCTTATAGTCCCAGCTACTCAGGAGGCTGAGGCAGAAGGATCACTTGAGCCCAGGAACATGAGGTTGCTGTGAGCTAGGCTGATGCCACTGCACTCTAGCCCAGGCAACAGAGCAAGACTCTGTCTCAAAACAACAACAACAACAAAACTGCTCAGTTTGCATTTAAATATAAGGCAAAGTGTCTTATTTAAAGCTTTGAACCACAGAATGAGAGGGCCAAAGAAGCCAGCACCTTCATTCCTTCATACTTTTCCCTGGTCCTGCTTCATTAGCACTCATTCAACCTCTGCATATCTGTGGGGAAAGAAAACACAGGGCTGGGAATCAGAAACCCAGAGGTGAGTTCTGGTCCAAGCTCTGCAACTGGGTATCACTATCATTTTTTTTGTTAGCACAATTTCCTTCAAGTCCCCTTCCCTATCTACCTCACCAGGTCATATGAGCTAAAGCAGGTGAAACATTTAGAAGAGATAAATCCTTCTAACACATGTAAGAAGGATTTATTATCTCTGACCTCCCCTTCTCCTGCAGCTACAAATAAGGCATTGTGTTGACAGCAGTCTGGGCCCTAGAGAGATGACTGTGGTGACAGCTCTCAGACTGAATGGGTATGTTTGACTGCCTTCCAAAGTCGAATATAAATAATTGGGATTTTCTGCTGCTTGGGATCATATTTACTTCTGCTCCTGCCACTGATAAAAAAACAGAGTTGACTATATTTAGCCCTGTGTTTTCTTTCCCTGAGTCAGATGGGAGCTGTTTCTTCCCATCCTACCCTTATTCCCATGTTGAGAGTTTCTCAAAGGCAAAGACCATTTCCCTTTTTGGCCATGGAGCTCTCTGATGGTAGTCCTTCCCTCACCACCCACCACACCCAACCTGAATAGCAAATCTCTAAGAATGGGAGCTATGTCTTTGGGTGCTCTTCTCAGGACTCAGGTGAGATCACTCAATCACAGGAGACCAAGGGACTGAAACATTCAGTCAAGGATAAAAACAGATTAAAATGTCGCAGTTACCTTTTTTTTTTTTTTAACATCCAGAATACACACTGGAGTTGCAGTTACCTTCTAACAACTGATTTCCTTGGGCGGATAAGTGTATCACACAATGGGACTTTAGTGGTGGTAAAGAATTTAGAGGCCTCGGGGGCAGACAGATCCAGATTTGTATACTGATTTGCCATTTACTAGTTATGTGACTGTGCAATTTACCAACCTCTCTGGGTCTTTCATCCGTGAAAAAGGTTACCTATATTCTAGGCTTGTTAAGAGGATTAAATGAGATAATGTACGAAAAGCCTAACCACAGAGCCTTGCATATAAGTGCTCATTAAAGAGTCACAGTGGAGGGCTCTTGTAGGAAATGAAAGGGCCATGTGCACGGAACAGCTTGGAGGAGACCACTACCTGGTGGCCAAGATGCAGCGAACCCTGCCTACCGAGTAGTCTGATCTCCTGGCTCAGGGTCAGGGCTCCGCACACCACAATCCGCCGCCTCTCATGAGGCCTTGAACTGCCAACGATTGCGGGGTGCTACCCAAACTCCTGAGTGAAGAAGGCGGCCAGGAAGCCAACCTGGCTTCTTGCAGAAAAGCCCCCTCCAAGAAGGTCCGGGGCATTCGGGCTCCCAGCGGGTCGCACCTGCGGGCGTCAGGCCCTCTCACTTACCCGGGAAAGGTAACGGTCCTTAACGGCAGCCAATAACGGCTCACCAGCGGCCCAGGCAATAGGAAAGGTAGGCTGATGTCAAACCTTGGATTTTAGAGCCTCCACGTCAGAAACCCTAAACCAGCATCGAACTACAACTCCCAGCATGCCACGCGGCCACTCGCGTCTGTGGGAGTCTCGGTCCCACCAACCTTGCCGCCCTTCTTTCCTCAAAGCGTGGCCGAACATCCAGGCTTCCGGGTATTGCTGCTCTCCCGCTAGCGACGCCAGGACAACCTCCCCTCATGATTTCTGGGTATTGTAGTCCATCTTGTTTTGCTTTCCCGGGAAAGAACCGCTCCTGGTGGCAGCTCGCCTCGCCGTAAAAACTGCAAAGCCCAGAATACACCGCAAGTCCCCCTCGTCCAATAGGAGCTTCCTATGTAGCGGGGCGCGGAGCCCGGCTCTAGCAACTCAAGATGGCGGACGAGAGTGAGACAGCAGGGAAGCCGCCGGCACCTCCGCTGCCGCAGATGATGGAAGGGAACGGAAACGGCCATGAACACTGCAGCGATTGCGAGAACGAGGAAGACAACAGCTACAACCGGGGGTAACGAGATCCTCGGAGTCCAATTTGCATCCAGGCTCCCACAACCTGGGTCTCTGGGGTGCGGGGAAGTCACCGGGAGCTTAGTCTAGCCCCACCCTCAGATTCTTATTAGCTAAGGCATTGGGATCCTGCCTGGTGATTGGTTATTGCCTTTGTCATTTACCAGGGGCGGGTGCTCAGTGTATTAGGGGCTGGAGACATTTAGTACTTTTATTATGTAAAAGTTTTTCTGTGTAATGTTCCACTCGTGTGCTTCAGGCACGTCCGGAGAAAAGAGCATGTTAGACGATGGTTTTCGATGGCACAACACAGGGCAATATAGTAACAGTACAGTTCAAAGGAAACGTTACTTACAGAGGTGTGTGAACAACGTGACTAGCAATAAACGAATAATAAAACGTTTCGCTACAGTTCACCGTCAACGAGGAAAATTCATCAGGCTGTGCAGACTACATATATAATTATGTTGTAAAATATCACTACGGAGAGAATACCAAAATATAAACTCACCTTATAAACCCTATGTAATTAACTATATGATAATGTTTTGATTTATACGGTGTCCATTGCTCCAAGTCCATAAGTTTCCTGAACAATATGTAATTAGGTCTTCCAGCATCTTTGTCCTGTTAACTTTGTGAAGTTGCCTCAAGCTTCAAGAACTTGAGGGATGTTGCTTCTTGGATAGTATTTTGAATCTGTGGGTTCAATACTGCATATCCTGTACTTTACAGTCTTACCTTTAGTAACTATTTATTCCTAGGGATGAAGAGATGCACCGGGTGTTTGAGTGTTGAGTTCTTTTCTCAAATCAGTTTTTACTTCTGTAAGCCACAGCCTACCTACCGTTCATCCTTCACATTGTTAGCGTTTGGCTCGGTACTCACTGACTCTCTTCCTATCTTCCTATCTGTATTTATGTACGTATTTTTAAACTGAGTAAGAGACTTTTGGGTATATAACTCTTGCTGAGTCTGTGGTAGTCTGATTTTCATAGCTACCTTGTCATTTGCAGTATTGGAGGTAGCCTCTGAGATAAAAGTAGAAGGTTGAGGTCTTCAGATAAACTTTTTTTTAAGTTCTGCTACCTTGTAGAGATGGGAGCCAAGGGATTATAGTCATGTACAGCGTAATGACATTTGGGTCAACAACAGACTGCATATATGATGGTGGTTCCATAAGATTATAATACCATATTTTTACTGTACCTTTTCTATGCTATGGTAAGTGACAAATACTTACCATTTTGTTACAATTGCCTACAGTATTCAGTGCAGTAATGTGCTGGGCAAGTTTGTAGCCAAGGAGCAATAGGCTATACCATGTAGCCTAGGCATGTAGTTGGCTGTACCATCTAGGTTTGTATAAATACATTATGATGTTCGAACTACAACAAAATCACCTAATGAGCATTTCTCAGAATGTATCCCTGTTGTTAAGCTAAGTATAACTATATTTAAGTGGTTTATAATCTGCTTGTGATGAATCCTAGGTTAAAAGATCTAGCTTTTTTGTTCTTCAACCAGCAATAAAAATCACAAGAAGAATGTAGAGGAAAGGGAAGCTTGCCAAATTTGGTTCTTCTAAGACTGTTCTGTTGCTGTAACTCACAACACATCTAATGTAATAAAAATCTTGCTTTGAAGTTTGATATTCCTAAAAATGGAAGAGCTGAAAAAGAGGAAGTAGGAGCAGGAAGAGGGGAAAGTGCAGCCTTCCGGAGTAGAGATCCAAATCATAGATGAGAGTTGTTGAATGTGAAAGTCATTTCAGAAGTGAAAGTGGGGCTTTTTCTTTGCTCTTTATGTAGTTGCTTTTATTTTTCTCTGCTTAACTCCTGTTCTGACCAGCGTCCATAGCTCTATAATTGGTTTTGTTCCCTATAATCTATGAATCGCTTTGCAAAATGTTTGCCAGAAAGTTCTGTATTTTATTTGTAGTACAACTAAGTGATAAAAAACTTTGGAAGTGTTTTTTGTTGTTCCTGTACGTGGTTATGGTCTGGGTGAAAAAATTATGTTTGTTAACATCCCCAATCTATAGGTATGTGAAAATGAGTTTGGAGGTGGCAAGTGAAAAACAGAGGACCTAGTCTGGAGGAGAGAATCTAATTCTGGCACTTAGAATCTGGGGTAGAGTCAACATTTTTCCACTCACTTTCAGAGAAAACAGTTTTGGGAAGAGGCAGTGGTTTTGGGAAAAAGCCGCATGGCATGATGGAGAAAGCATGGATTTCGGAGTCATTTAAATCTGGTTTCAAAGCCTGGTTCTGACACTTAATAGTCCTGTGACCTTGGGAAAGGTACTAAACCTAGAGTTGTTTTAGGGATTAAATGAGATAACATCTGGAATGCAGCCTTCCTCCCTCTTCTTTCTTCACATCTTCCTAACCTCCGATTACCCTTTTGCTCTTACCACAGACTGTAATTTTTGTATCTTTTATCAAAACAATAGTTAAATAACATATTTGATAATTTTGTTTAATGTGTCCAATCCCTGCCTCACCTGACTGTAAAGTGCTTGAGGACAGAATTGTATCTTCAAGGTGCCTGGTGCTTAGTGGGTATTAATGAGTATTTGCTGTATGAATGAATGGCAAACGATAAAGTGCCTGGCCAGTGTTAGTGGAGTTTCTTTTCTCTTATCTTTTCCCTTCCCTTATCTTTTCCCTTATCCCATTAATGAGTATTTGCTGTATGAAAGAATGGCAAACCATAAAGTGCCTGGCCAGTGTTAGTGGAGTTTCTTTTCCCTTATCTGAGTTGAAGGATGTCAGATTTTTCTTACATACACATTTTTTTCTCCAAATAAATCTCATTGTAAGCTTTATTACAATTTTTGTGAAATACCTACAGAAATCAAAGAACCTCCAATATGTTATGGAAGCTTTCCGTTGGTTTTTGCTTCGTGAAATGTTTCTTGTCTTTACTTAATATTATTTAAAATGCTTTCCATCTTTCCTAAAGTGGCAGGTAATAAAATAAAATGAAATGTTTTCAAAAGTCATGTACAAACTGACAGGAAATTTCTCCTTTCAACACTAGAGATTCCGAAGTGCAATTCAAGGCCATATGTGGTGACTCATGCCTATAATCCCAGTACTTTGGGAGGCCAAGGCTGCAGATCACCTGAGCTTAGGAGTTCAAGACCAGCCTGGGCAACATAGTGAGACCCTGTCTCTGGAAAAAAATTAAAAAATGAGCCGGGTGCGGTGGCAAGCGCCTGTAGTCCTAGCTACTCAGAAGGATCAGGTGGGAGGATTGCTTGAGCCCAGGGGATTGAGGTTGCAGTGAGCTATGATGGTGCCACTGTACTCTAGCCTGGGCAACAGAGCGAGACTGTCTCTAAAATAAATAAATTTTTTAAAAAGTAAATAAAGTACAATATGCAATAAAGGTTAATGGTTAAAACTAATCCTTATTCTCTCAGGCCTTTTAGGAACTAAAGTTCATAGTGCTTTACACTAATGAAATGAGCTACATTCATGCCCTGGATTAATAGGGAATGCAGTTATGCTAGTTTCTTATGTCTCTTTGTGTGTGAGTTTAGTTCTTGACTTTTCTAGTCATGTGTTTTCTCAATAATAAGCATAAACATTTGGTGAATATAAAACTTCATGTATACATATAAATATACACATATATGCGTATGTATCTGTCTATAGTTTTTCTGTTTTTTTAAATGTGCTTAATTTCCCCCAGTTACTTGCCTAACATAAATTACCCTGAGCAATAGAGAGGAGAGTTGGACTAACTAAGGTAATCTTTATGCTGTATCCCTCTGCAGTTCATGACTCATGTATATGGTTTAATTTGCTTGGTTTTTTTTTTTTTTTTGAATGAAAGGCTTTCCAAGAAATAATTGCTAAAGAATAAATCTCATCAGCTGGCAGTGGATTTTAATTTGGGAGTAACAAATAAGTAAAGTTTATCTGGGTGTTATGGAACAAGAAAGAATTTTTAGATTGTTGTGTTCCTAGAATTCTTTTGGAATTTATTTTATAGTATCATCAGTATCCTTGACATGCTGATAAGCCCTGGGTAAAGAGCCCTTTGGTAGGGGATGTCTGTTCCCCATCCTGCTCTCTCACTCCATGGGACAGGGTAACATGAATCCTTATGAGTTTTTCTCACTTCCTGATCATGAGATATTATCCCTTATGAAAAAACTTAGAAAAGAAAGTCTTTTTGAAAGTAAATCCCATAAAACTGTCCTTACTTGTCTTTGTTTCCTTCTTCAGATTCTCCAAGAGTCATTCTTTCTCTATTTATTTGATGGCTTATAGCTGCATCTAGCTCTTGGAAAGAAGTCTTTTTAGTCCCTTTTTCTTAATTCCTCCCTTCAGCTTTTGGTTTTTCAAAACTAGATCAAAGCAAAAATGAAAAGAAAAACCTCATCACCGATATCAAATAAGTGTTCTAATTTTGTTTCCCAATTAAGTGGCAATTAAAAAGAAACTAATCAAGAGCTGCTTCAAAGAGAAGAGACTGGAAAGCAGAAGAAATGAAAAGTAAATGAGAGCCTATTTCAAGGAGATTGCTGCTCATGGCAAAGCAGTTTTGCTGATTTTTCACATTGTTCAACTAATGTGCTCACTCTAAAATTCCTCAGCTTTACTAAGTTGGCAGTTAACCCTTTCCCTATGGAACCCATAGAATTATGAACTATAGATGTAGTAACTTTAGGAGGATGCTTCTTTAGCTTTTTCTCTTTGACTTTTTAAAAATATTTTATTTTTATTACAGAACATTAGATCTGATCTCTTTGACTTTTTATCTGAAATCTCTATCATTTAAGCCTCTCTTCTAATTCCTCAAAGAAGGTGCCCTTACGATCGTTGCACTTAAGGCATACAAAATATGGTGTTCCCTACTGAAAGCACCAAAAACACTGAACCAGAATTCTTTGACAGGGTCAGTACTTGCTTCAAAAATTTTCTAGTGCTGGCCCGGCGTGGCTCATGCCTATAATCCTAGCACTCTGGGAGGCCGAGGC